AAGTGTTAGTGTGTCACTTGTGTTTGCCTCTTCGTGATATTGTTCTCTCAATATTTTGCACTCTTTTTTATATAGTTGATTGTCCATCTGCATATGTGGACGCATGTCATGTGTTGATCGGACCACATTAAATGTTTGTATCACTTTTTGTATATTTCCCTTTTGTTATATGATGTATCGTTGTTCAAGTTTTGTTTTGCTAGCTTCCGCATAACACCTGATTATTTCGATCCTAACAATCAGTTATGCATATTTCTAGTCAATTTGCGCCTTGTATTAACAACTGATTTTTGAACTTATATTGTAAGAAATTAATCAATTATAATATCAACAATCTAAACCAACCATTCACTCTTGGGTAGAAATCCGATTCTTAATCCCCTATATTATTACAGGATCCTAAAGAAGTTTAGAGTGGTCGAGCATTGGCAGAAATTAAAATTGGTATTTGGGCTACTAGCTAGTTGTAGTTTTAGGTAAGAAAATGTACTTTTCCTAACACTCTAATAGATAAGCACGGAGATTAAATAACAATGAAATATTAATTAAAACTCAATAATATGTGGATTATCTCGACTGTTTAGTTCATGATCCTACTAAATTGAAATCATACAGCAACCATATTTGGCTTGCAACTAGATCCAATCAACTTCTTCTTTTTCCAACTTCAAACTTGAATTTGATTCCATTACATTAGGGTTTTCCTCGCTATAAATAAAATAATAATATGAAATTTTATGTACTTATAATAATGACGAATTTATATTTATTAATCATTACATCATCAGAGGGTAGAGGGAAAGGGAATATTAAGTTACTAATGGAATTTGAACCCTCCACCTCAACCATAAAAGACGAACTCATCAAGTGAGCTAGCCTTCAACTTGTTGCTTATATTTTATATAAAAGAGCCAATTAACAGGAAACAGAATACATAATTAATTATCCAATATGATACTCACTCCGGTCCAAAACAAGTAATTTTTTGTCTTTTTTGTGATCCAAAATAAGTAATTTTTTTCAGATTTCAAAAATGAATTAATTATTTTTTTCTTACATAGCCCTTGGAGTAAATAGTGTTGGAGTATGTGTTAGGAATGTTTATGTGAAGAGATAGTAAAGGTTAATACAGTCAAATTAATGTTAAAAGTTGAATTTCTTAATTTATGTGAAAACAACTAATAAATCACTTATTTTGGATCGGAGAGAGTATTTAATACGATTTTCAAAAGTGATTTCTAGGAAATACCATTTGAAAATGAAAGGAGATAGGTTAAGCGTATGAATGTGCATGATACATTTAATTTAAGGAGGGTAAAAAGCAAGAAATTGATGAATCATGAACAAATTTCTTAATCCTAACATGCAAAAAAAAAAAAAAAAAAAAAAGCTATATCAATTCAATTGCTTTATTCATGTGTTCTCTATGTCTCTCCAACTATTCTCATCCTTTCTCTTAAAAGTTATCACTTTCACAATTTTTAAGATACATAATACATCCTTTATGTTTAGTTTTACGTGAACTTTTACTGGAGTAATACTTTTTTCAGTTTAGATAAGTATGTAATTTGATCAATTTATCCTTCAGATAAGATTGATTGGCAAAATTAAGAGCCCATTTGGAGATAATTTTTTTTTTAAAACTTTTTTTCGAATAATTTTCACTTTATTTTAAAAGACAAGAGGGGTTGCTCTGATGGTAAGCAACATCCACTTCCAACCGAGAGGTTGTGAGTTCGAGTCTCCCCAAGAGCAAGGTGAGAAGTTCTTGGAGGGAAGGATGCTGAAGGTCTATTTGGAAACAGTCTCTCTACCCTAGGGTAGAGGTAAGGTCTGCGTACACACTACCCTCCCCAGACCCCACTAAGTGGAATTATACTGGGTTGTTGTTGTTGTTAAAATCAGTGTTTGACCATAAAATTTTCAATTTTTACTTGAAAATGAATTTTGGAATTTTTCGAAAATTTAAAAACTTCAAAAAATTATTTTTCAAAATTTTCACTCAAATCACTCACAAAATTACAAAAACAACCCAAAATAATATTTATGCCGAAATATAACTCTAATTTTCAAATACCATTTTCATCGTTTGATTTTTTTTTTAATTTCTTTTAGAATTTTACAATTCTTATGTCCAAACGCCAACTAAAGGCATGCTCTTTTTCTCGTCTGAAAATTTCATATCATTAACATTTGACCAAAGGCTTAATATGTGATCGTTATTATTACGTACTTGGAACTTTATAACGAAACTTGAAACTTAGTCAAAAAGTTTGTGCCAAATAAAAATATTTATTAGCGATATATAACAAAAATAGGTTTCATCATCAATTATGTCTATTTCAAGCAGTGCCAAACAGCTTGACAAATATGGGAAAGCAAAACTTCAACTTCCCACTAAAAAGTCATGACATTTGGCACATAAAAATTAAAAATTAACCTTTCCTATAAATTATAATGACAATTAAAATAGGTGTGCTCAATTGACTCGTTTTTTTCTTTACTTTTCTTATAACGACGAGACATTAACAGCCATAAACGATAGGGTCCATATCCTTTATATACTTAATGAGATAATAATGTAAACAACAACAACGACCCAGTATAATTTTACAAGTGGAGTCTGAGGAGGATAATATGTACGCAGATCTTACCCCTACTCCGAAGGATAGAGAGGCTGTTTCCAGGAGACCCTCGGCTCAAATGAGAAATAAATCCAATCAAATGTAAGCATTATTTATTAAGTTATTTACATTGCATTTTTTTCTCACATTAATCTATTGAGAACGTAGGAAGATTATTATTTTCCTTTCAGGAAAGAAGAGAAGAAAATTAATAAACGAGAAATCATGCGCTAAAAACCTTAAATAATCATATTAAAATCGCATATTTTTTAATCTCACATTTATTAACATTTTCTATTGATTAGAAAATAAAAAACTATGAATGGCTAGTCAGCATTATTAATTGGACAGCGATATTATGAAATGAACAAAATCAGAACGCCTAAATCCATTGTTGACCTAGTAAATTCATGATTTCTTAATCTGAATATTAATTTATTGAATCATAAATCGTAATCTTCACAGACACGACTCACTATTATAGGCATGAAATATTTAAATGCGTCTAACAACAATTCTTACTACACTTCAATTCTAATATTGTTAGGATAATCAGTCATATGAATTATCCATGTCCTTATTGTTTTATTTATACTCGTCTCAAATATTAAATTAAAAGTAAATAAAAAGGATAACTCAAAACAGCGTAAAGGGCTATAAAAGAGAATATTGAAAAGAAATATACAAAAAAAAAAAAAAGTGTTTTATTAGCTGGTCAATTAAGTAAGAGAAAATGGCATTCATTAGATTTTAATTCGAATAAGTCCTTAAATTTGGGGTATATCACTTGCTATAAATTTTATTCATGTTCCTATCTAGCAAGTTTTATAGATTTGACTTTGAGCCCGTTTAGCTTAGCTGATTTAGAGTAACTGATAAGCATTAGGGGCTGAAAAGTACTTTTAAGTGTTGCAGCTGATTTAAAAATAAGCAGTTACGTGTTTGGATAAAAGTGCTGAAATTAATAATAAACAACTGAAGAACTGGGTATACGATGAGTTTTGTTTTAAAAATAAGTATTTTAGGGATAGAATAGTAAATATTTTGGTCAAACCTAAAGTGCTTAAAGCTGAAATTTGATAAGTTGGGGTAGACCAACTTATGACTTTTGGCTTATAAGCACTTTTAATTTTATCAAACGCGTAGATAAACCAAAAAATACTTATAAGCCAGTTTGACCAGGTTATAAACTTAGCCAAACACCCTCTTTGTCTCCTAACAATACACTAATAAATTTGCCAGAAAAAGGTTTTGGAAAACAAATCAACTGGAAAACAAATCAACAACTTCTTAATAAGATAATTTCTTTTGAAATTCATCCATTACAAACAATTCTCAATCTGATTCTGATTTCTATTATATATTTGACTTTGAAAATAAATTTAACTTTATTTTTCAAATTCAAATGTTTTTTTTTATGTCAACAATATAAAAAATATTAATACAATCAGATTATTTTTACAGCAAGCAAGTACATTTTTTCGTTAAATATGTGTTAGTAATTTGAAATCAAAAAAATTGTCACAATTAAATGGGCGTTGGACATAAGAATTGTAAAATTCCAAAAAAAACGTCAAAAAAAAAAAAATTCAACTGAAAATGGTGTTTGGACATATTTTGGGTTGATTTTGAAATTTTACGAGTGATCTGAGTAAAAATTTTGAAAAATAATTTTTTTTGGAGTTTTCATAATTTTCGAAAAATTTCAAAATTCATCTTCAAGTGAAAATTAAAAATTTAGTGGCCCAACACTGATTTTGAAAAAAAGTAAAAATAATTTGAAAAAATTCTTATGTACAAACGCGCTCTAAATGGATCAAATTATACCGAATTATTTTCCAAATTTTATTTATAAATAATTTTATAAAGTAAAAAAAAATTAAAAAAAGAAGTATGAATCCTATTCTATAGGCCTCGCAAAAGAGCAAAGTCACAAACTGACAAAACGTTGATTCCCTCTAATCTTTTAAAACGGAAAAGAAGCCGACCCTTTCACAGTTAATATTAAATCCTAAAATACTGCATTTTGTTCACACACGCTTTCTTCCTCAAATACAACAACAACAACCCATTATAATCTCACAAGTGAGGTCTGGGGAGGGTAATATGTACGCAGACCTTACCTCTACCCGAACGATAGAGAGGCTGTTTCCAGGAGACCTCGGCTCAAAAAAGTTTCAGCCTCAAATACGACAACCAAAAAACTCATTCAATTCAAAACCCCATAATTAGGAATGGTAATTAAATTACAACTAAATTTCTTTCTCATATTAATTCCATTATTATTATTATTATTATTATTATTATTATTATTATTATTATAATATAAATAAATTAAACTCAACAGACTCCTATCTTCCCTTCTCTGAATCTCTGAGCCGATAGTCAAGTCACAATATCTGCATGTGTACGTACTCTCTTTTCTTCTCTTTAAATGCTTTCTTCACAACAATAGAAATAGAGAAAGAATCCTCCCTCCCTCTGCCCCTTTTTCAGGTTTTCAGTTTTTATTAAAGAAAAAGCAAATTATTCACCATATTATATTATATAGTCAGAAGAACGGACCAGAGATTCTATGTAATTTTCCCCCTTTTTTACATCTTTAGCCTACCCTTAAACGAAGAAACACATCACAAAAATTATGGCTATTCAAGCGCAGTTATATACAGATAATTTTGGTTTTCCGTTTGGTGGTTCACAAGATTTGATGGAGAATGGTTGTGGATTTAATCAGTTTTCTTTTAGTCCTCAACAGCAACAACACCTTCAACAAAATTTTCAACAGCAGTCGTTCCTGCAAATTCTGCCGCAGAAAAACAATCAGAATTTGATGAACATTGTTCCGAAACAGTATAACAACGGTACTGAATCAATGCCTTTTTCTCAGTGTATAGCGTCACAGTTTGAGAAACAGAGTATTGAGATTGATCAATTCATCAGTTTACAGGTTTGTGATTCTGTATATTCTTTTTCTCTTTTTTGTTTTTGTTTTTGATTTTATCAAATTTTTTGTTCGTTCATGTTTTATTTGCAGAAATTTAACGATTGATTTTTGAAATAACAGAATGAGAGATTGAGATTGGTTTTAAACGAGCAAAGAAAGCAACAGCTGGCGTTGATCTGGAGAAAATACGAAGCAAAAGTTCAATTTCTGCTAAAACAGAAAGACGAAGAAATCGCTAAAGCTGTAAACAGGAAAAAAGAGTTGGAAGAATTTTTACAAAAGATGGAAATAGAGAACCAAACATGGCAGAAAATAGCTCAAGAAAACGAAGCTATTGTCATTTCACTAAACAACACAATCGAACAGCTACGAGAAAATGGTGTTTATTGTTTAACATCAGCAAATGGAGCAGAAGATGCAGAATCATGCTGTGATTTTGGCCATGAAAATGAAGAAGAAAATGGGGAAGATGATCAAACAAGAAAAATGAAGTGTAAAAGCTGCAATTCTCGTAAAATGTGCATGATTTTCTTGCCGTGTAGACACCTTTCTACATGCAAAGATTGTGATTCTTTTCTTAATCAATGTCCTGTTTGTGGAATAGCGAAAAAAGCAAGTATTGAGGCTTTGATTTGACAAAAAATAGATGAAAAACCCAAATTACTAAATTCATTAATTTCTTTTTGTGTTTTTTTAACCCTTTTGTCAGGGTGATTTCATTTGATCTTTTTTTTGGTGTACTTTTTTGACGAAATCCTCTGACTGATGAAATGAACAAAAGTGATATGAGTAGTTACTGCTGTAATAGTGTACAGGAAATTAGCATCTTTTTTTTTTACCTTTCTTGTAGATGTTACTTTTACCATTTTTGGTGGGATTTAGTTTTTACTTTTACAGTGATTTGATTATTCATATATGGTTATATCAGTCGTTTTTTAGTGTAAGTAAGTTGGTGGAACTATGACAGAAAGGTTGATAGCAATATGTCAGTATTCAGTATGGGGGTGGCCCTGCTTTCACTCACCTGTTCTCTTGTACAAGAACTTCAGTAATTGTTTTTAAATTAAAAAAAAAAAGAGGAAACTTTAGCAACTTTACTTTTTTTGAGCAATTTTTCAGTAAGTTGGAGTGAATTTTAATTAGGGGTGGGCATATATCGGGTAAAACCGATAACCCGAACCGTTAATTCTTTATTAAGAAACAACAAAAATTGGCAGTTTACACGTTCTAGCAGTTTGATTTCTTTGTTTTATATATTGCAAATTTTTTTAGTTGTTTTATCTTATCGGGTAAACCGATAATGATATATAACAGATTAACCGATAACCGATAACCAATATCTTATCGGTTTGGTTATCGGGTTATGATATTTGTAAACCGATAACCGATAGGCAAAACCGATAATGTTCAAAACACGAACCGACCGATGCCCACTCCTAATTTTAGTAGACCTGTGGCTATAAATACCTAAGTTGCTTGGACTTGGTCGCGGATATCCGATATGGATATTTAGAGGTCGGATCTTTCATGTTCTTAATTTTGGAATTTGGTGATATGGATTAGGTGCATGTACAGATACTGATATTTGGCTAAAAATAATTCAAATAACTAAATAGAGTAATAAAAAAATATAAATTATGAGACATTATAAATATATGAAAAACTCACAAGGTATTGCGAGAAGTAAAAAACATTAATGTAAAGGAGAATTCAAGAAGATAAACCGAGACGGGTTGACATTGAATTTTCTATATACAAATTTTTTTACAGTTCACCCTAGTTTTCAATTTGATTTAAAAAATTATTGTATTTGTCTCGAAATATTTCTTTGATTTTGGTGAAAATGCCCAATATTGATGATCAAACTCGATACGGATCTCTTACCCACATTCACACCCGCGCCTATATTTACATCGTGTCGACACGAAAACAACATCCAAGATGATGAGCGTGAACAACTTAGATAAATACTAGGATTAAGGTTTTGCTGAAATTTGGCATGGATAAAGTGACTGAATTAAAGCTTAGTTTGGCTTTCAACTTTCCTTTGGAACGTTACATAGGCCTGCAAGTAATAATAAGGTGGATGTGGGAAAACTTGGGTCCAGTGTCAGAGACTTTAACTTGATTTATACACCATATTAAAAATCATGACTATAATTAGTCGAATAACATTATCATGTTTAAATTTAATTACTTCATAATTGTAAACGTTTAAAAATTTTGAAATCTATTATTTATTTAAGTTATTGTTATTAAAGCAACAACAATAACAACAACCCAGTATAATCTCACTAGTGAGATCTGCGAAGAGTAGTATGTATGCAGACCTTATCTCTACCCTGGGCTAGAGAGACTGTTTCCAAATAGACCCTCGATATCCTTCCCTCCAAAAACTCTCCATCTTCCTCTTGGGGTAACTCGAATTCACAACCTGTTAGAAATGGAGGTTTGTTTACCAAGCAATCCTCTTGTCTATAATCTTATTAAAGCAATGACGTGAATAAAGGAACGTCGGTACAAAGATAAAAAGAAGCGTCAAATGAGAAGAAGTGATTTCTTGGGTCTTGAAAAGTGGAATATCTCTTAAAATGGCTGTTGTGCTATCATTATTTACTTATTCTTGAAAGCCGATGGACGAAATAACTTTAATTATCCTGTTTGATTCAAAAGATATTAATTTTTTTTTGAGCAAATCAATTAAAGATAAAAGGGTTAATCCTAGTTGAGAATAATAATCTCTAGAAAGATCGATAGACAAAATGATGATAGATCACGAGGCTTCTTTTCATTCATAAATAGTAATATTTCCAGAGTGTTAAATGTCGGTTACAAGGTTATTGTCTTCCTTTTATATTAAGAGAGATTCTTCTAAACTGTAGGAGACAAAATACAAGGAATATTCGAAGGAATATTCTCAATGTCCCCTGATGGTTATACATTATTGCAAGGGTCGTTCCGTCTCTGGTTTGTCTCAAGGTCGTCTCCCTCAGGGCATCAGTTCGAGGAAACTCCGTCAATCGTCATACTCATCGTCGATCGTGGTTGGTCAAATTTAGACCCATACAGTTAGTCCCACCACTTGTCGGAGTCGCAACTGGGTGCGTTCTCGATGAGCGGACACCATGCGTTCCTATGGAGAAATTTGAGTCGATATGATGTTACGAAATGGCCAATGAAGGACGGTTGGCGTGCTTGGCAAGATACTCGGTAATATACTTTACCGGAAAATGATGTCATCTTCACGTGTGTCATCATCACGTATGTTTTTGAGGCAGGAGTTGATGGCTTGATGTTTCGGTTTTAGCGCTACTTTGTGGCTCTCCGCTTCGATTCTGGTGCCACCCAACCCTATAAATAAGGGAAGGGTTTGTTTTTTCGAAAGTTTTAGGCCATTACACTCTTGATAACCTCCTTCATTCTTCCGCGTTTGCCCTCATACCCTTTTGCTTCCTCTTACGTTCTTCATTCGAAACTTCTTCCTCCTTCTTCTTTTTGCGTTGATATCCCTTTGCATAATATCATGCCAAGGTCTCGTCGTTCTCATGAAGAGGTTCCTGAGGTGTCACGACCCTAACTCCGAACCCGATCGTGATGGTGCCTCTCGTGAAGACAAGGATAGAGGTGTCACGACCCTAACTCCGAACCCGATCGTGATGGTACCTCTCGTGAAGACAAGGATAGCCAGTCTAACACAATTCATCTTTTTAAGCAGTTAAATAGCAAAAGAATAGTTCAAACATAATTTAATAGCAATATTTAGTGAAAATAAAGATAACAAAACAGAAACCCAACCCGACACAACCCTAACCGGGGTGTCGCAAGTCATGAGCAACTAAGGATCCTGATACAAGTCTACTGAATGCAATATCTGGTAAAATTATATGAAGAACATAGAAATAATAAGATAAGGGAGACACGGAGGTTGCAGATGCCAACAACTCCCTCGTAGTCTCCGAAACTCCACCTGGATTGGAGGGATCAACACTTAGGAGCGGGAAATGCTACGCCTGAATCTGCACACACGGTGCAAGGAGTAATGTGAGTATTCCGACTCAGTGAGTAATAAATATAAATAATGACTGAAAGTAAGAAAACATGTAAAACATAAGGCATTCTATACCGAAGCAGTAAAATCACATAAAATCAGTAAATCAGTGAATAATCAAGTAACATCCCTTTTTCAGCAGGTAAAACAAGTAATTAACAGGTAAATAACAAGTAAAAGTTCGCCCCTCGGGCACAATATCAACAAAACCGCCCCTCGGGCAACATCTCAGAACAGTACCAGCCCCTCGGGCTCAATCTCAGAACAGTGCCAGCCCGTCGGGCTCAATCTCTGAACAGCGCCAGCTCCTCGGGCTCAATCTCACATCACAATGGGTACCCGTGCTCACTGGGGGTGTACAGACTCCGGGAGGGGCCCCTTACGGTCCAAGCGCAATATCAAGCCATCTCGTGACATCAAATCTAGGCCATCGACCTCATATCAGTCAAGCCACCTTGTGGCGTATGTATATGTATATCAGGCCCTCGGCCTCATATCAGTCAAGCCACTTTGTGGCGTATATATGTATCTCAGGCCTTCGGCCTCATATCAGTAACAGTGTATCCTCACATCTGGCCTTCAGCCGTACTTAGTCTGAAAATCATCACAAGCCACTCGGGCATTAGTAAAACAGTAGTTCTCTTCCCAAAACAAAATTTAAAATATCATTTAAGTCTCAAAACTAAGTAAAAATGGCTGAGTAGTATAATAGTGAAAAATAGCATGACTGAGTTCAAGTAATAAGTTAAAACAGTGAGGAAATAGTGATAAAAACCCACGAAGGGTTCAAATAGTTGACACGAAGCCCAAATATGACAATCAACCCAAAACATGATGATAGCAAATAAGTTTTAGTCAAATACGCAGTAAAATCATCAATCGGGGCGGACCAAGTCACAATCCCCAATAGTGCACGACCCTACGCTCGTCATCAAGCGTGTGTCTCACCTCAATATAGCACTATAATATGCAAATTTGAGGTTTCAAACCCTCAGAGCATCATTTACAATCATTACTCACCTCGAAAGGACTAAATCTCTAGCTCGCGACGCCTATGCCTCTCGAATCGGCCTCCACGCGCATCGAATCTATCCAAAATCATAACGAATACGTCAAAGTATGCTAAGGGAACAAAGCCCAAGCGAAAACAATCGAAAATACCAAAAATTCCGAAATTAGCAAAACCCGAGCGTCAGACCCACTTCTCAAAACTCAGAAATTTTCACATCATTAGATTCTTCGTCTCCCCACGAGTTCATCAATATCAAAAACACAAGAATCGGAGTTCAAATTACCCCTCAAATCCTCAATTTAAGCCCTCTTAAACTCGAGGCCTAAACCTCCATTTTTAGTCCTTTATTTCCTTAAATTTCAGTCCCAATCCATGAAATATTACTATAGAAGTGTGTTTTAAGTCCAAAATCCTTACGTTCCACGAAGTATCCTTGATTTCTCTCTTCAAAACTGCCCAAAACTCCAAATTCCGAGTTCAAAAATGGTTAAACCCTTCAAACCCTTTCCGCATCTGCGGTTCAAAACCCGCTTCTGCGGTACCTCTTCTACGACTAACTATCCGCTTCTGTGGAACTTTATTTAACCAGACAAACCGCATCTGCGATTCACTCGCCGCATCTACGACTCCGCAGGTGCGGTTCCCCTACCGTATCTGCGGTTACTGACCAAACCTCTTGAATCCGCTTCTGCGGCTCTTTCCACACGTGCGACACCGTACCTGCGGCCCCAAACCACAAGTGCGAAAACACCAGAAGCAGCAATATCAGCTACTGCAACCAAGTTCCAAATTCTCCAATAACCATCCGAAATGATCCCGAGGCCCCCGGGACCT